TTTTTTATTTCATTTCTATACTTTCGTTTTCATTTTATTTATTTGATTTTTTCATTTTTTTTTTTAGATTTTTTTTTCTTTTTCGTTTTTTTCAAAAAAATAAATAAAAAGTATAAAAAAAATGAAATAAAATAAAAATAAAAAAAAAGATTTCCGCGGATATGGCATTTAATTAGTAAAATTTGATATAATGATATCAAAATTCGTTGTATTTATAAAATAATATATAAAAATAAATTTTACAAAAATTTCATTGCGTACCGTACCGTACTGGTTTGGCGAATCGTACCGTACCGGTTTTCCATATACTCAATTTTTTCCACACTATTCTAAGTTTATCCCAATAAAATAAAAATCTAATTATCCCATATGTAATCTCACAACGTAATTAATTATGATTACAATGCTGATAGACATAATTTTTTATGATTGAAAATTTTACCTGCCATTTGTGTAATCTCTAAGGAATATGAGATACTTCTGAATAAGATGATATATGTTCATATATTTCATAGATGATACTGAATAATAAACTTGCAATGCTTGTAATTAGTGTCGATATTAATAACGTATCTGATCCTAATTCCTTGATATATAGTATCTAAATCCAAGAAAAAAATTAGAGGGAAAATCAATTATTTTGGAGTTATTTTGAATTTTCCATTATATATTATATATACTTACAAGAATAACAAATTGAGATATTTTTTTAATGCTATTGAATATTCCGGCCCCGAGTATCCATTTTCTTACTTCAGGATTAAATAAAGTAATATCTAAGAGTAATTTCATAATCATTATATCTACCATCGATAATATTGTGATTATTGTTATCATAATGATATTTTTCTTTAACCAATCCCTAAAATCCCTTTTATTAGTTTGTTGATTTTGTCGCATCATAATTCCAAGTACAAACAAAAGATTAAGCGTTGCTGGTACTGTTAACATCATGAAACTAAAAAAAAAAAAAATGAAAAAAAGACATTTTGAATCTTGAAATTTGCTTTAAATATGTAAATATTTAAGATGAAAATTATTACCTTGGAACAAATAACATTGGAAAAATTTTTACAGTATTTATTAAAAATGCCACGTCCGAAACAAAATCTAGTAGTTTAAGTAGAACTATATACGTCGTCATATTTCTTCCCTAATTGAAAAGAATTTAGAATTTGCTATTATTTAAAAATAATTTAATGAAAAATAATACACACATTGAGAAATATTATAATTCCACCCGTTAATGCTAATATTTCGGTTAATGTATCTACAAATAAATAAAATAAATAATGTTGATCTAACTAACAAATGATTGACCAGCGTTAAACCTACGAAATTCTTCAATAGTGAAATTACTTGATGAACTCATTATTTGTAAAATCAAAATTATTAGAAAGTTTGAAATTAGGGAAAGGAAGTAAGGCGTTTATCCTTTATTTAAATATTCTTTTTTTTCACTATTTCAACGCCAAGTCAACCATATTTGGTTATTTAATAGTAAGTTCAAGTGATCAAAATTTTATTAGAGAATGTATAATATACAATTGTTATTACGTGGCTTATTTGTATATACCGGTTACTGAATGTAAAAACCTGTTCTAATCTGCATACTAACCTGTTCATGTAAGTAGTTCTGTTACCAAACACCTAATATTAATATAGTAACGCTAACCCATAATTAATCTCAATTATACCAGCAATCGTAGCGTGTGGTAAGCAGTAACTAACAAACGTTTCTAATAAGTAATAATAAATAAAAGCAAAATTGCATAATTTGCATAATTTGCATATTAACTTTATTTATTCATCTCTTTTATCAAATATAATTAAAAAATACAGCTATAAAAGCTTGAATTTAAGGATCAAGGTCGTTGGACGAAATATCCCGGCTATAGTTTAGAGAATCGAATATCAGTATTAACCATTAATTAATAAAAATTTACCCCACTGAAACTTTCCCATATTGATTGAAATGTTAAATTAATTAATTACTTAATAATAACGTTATCTATATACCGTATGTATAATGACCTAAAAGGGCTTACCATATGGAAACATTGACTTCAAAAATTCGGATTTTACAAAAAAAAAAATTCCAGATAATTCAGTTCAGTTCTTTTCTTTTCCGTTCCAAATTTCACAAACATCATCAATGAAATGTTTTGAAAATATATATTTTTCCCTCATAAATCTAATGTTATTTGGTATTCATATTAGGGATGTTAATGGTTATGACCGGTTATAACCGGTTAAAAGCTTCTGACCGACCTGTTGACTCGATTTTAACCGACCCATGTTTTAATCAGTAAAATAATAATTTTTGTATTTAAATTAAAAACCTTTCAAAGTTTGAATTTATATAATTAAAATAATAATTTTTATTTTTTCCTTTTATTTAAGTAATAAATAATGAAAAGTTAAACTTGATGAGATTAAAGCATAAATAAATGAGAATGTTTTAAAAATATTATTATTTAATAGTTTTTGCTATTATAAAATAAAATTTTAATATTAAAATTGTGTTGTTACATTAATTTCGTAACACTTGAAATTTTGCTATTAAAATCACCCTAGGAAGCATTGTTACACTAATTTTTTAATATTTTCTTTATTAGAAGCTGTTTTTGAAATTCAATATTTTATCAAAAAATTAAAAAAAAAAATAAAGAAGGCTCAGATGTTTTTCCCAGTTAGTTAATTACCGGTTTATTTAAGTCCACAAAGGGTGGGAACGTCTTGAATAGGAAAAATAATAAGTTATTGTCCTCGGTGTCACTGTGAAATTCTTTTTCTCCTGAAAAATAATAAAAAAAAAAAAATTTAATAAACAACTAAATAACCTGGATTTTTTTTTTACCATATTCGGCTAATTTCATAAGTCACGAGACAGCCGATAATAACCGAGATTTTTCTTTCAAAGAATTCTATACCGAGTAGATAGAAAACCGGTACGGTACGATCCAAATTTCGCGAAAGAATACTGATCTGCATAATCGTACCGTACTGGTCTGGCAAATCATACCGTACCGGTAGTATATATAGAGCTTTTATTATAGGACCAGTACGGTACGGTATGAACTTTCGTAATAGACGTTGATAACACGGTGAATTTATTATAAAGCTTGTAATGTTTTAAAATTAAAAATTTTAACCGATTATTGATTATATTCCTTTTTATTTCAATAAAAAATAATAATAATAATATAATCATTTTTTATTGAAGGACAAATGCATCATAATAAAATAAATTATTGTTTTGTAATTAAATTATTTTAATTTTTATGTAGTAACGCTTTTCTTTTTAATTTAATTTAATTAAAGTTATTTTGACAAACATACCGTTGAACTTTATGTCAGAAATATAAACTTTAAGATTTTAATAATGATGCAGTACGAACCAGAACGAATTTTCTAAATTCGTACCGTACTGTACTGGTTCTATAATAATGCTTTATATATAGGACCAGTACGGAACGGTACGATTCAAATTTCCCGTGAAAAAATACTGATCTGCATAATCGTACCGTACTGGTTTGGCGAATTGTACCGTACCGGTTTTCCATATACTCATTTTTTTCTAAGTATAGGAAGATCAAAAATGGTAATGCGTTACTTTTGACCGTTTTGCTTGTATATCAATTACTATATATGAAATTGGTAAACTATAAACAAACTAGCGAAAAAAATTTTTAAACTGCTTTTTTCAGCCCCTTTTTATCTATTTCAAAATTTTTCAAAAAAAAATGGGACGTTTATCTATTGGAAAAAGAAATAGAATACATTCATTTATTCAAAAAGGGTTTCTGTCTCATTTCATTGCTTCTCGTATTATATAAAAATGGTTTTTCTTCAAGAGTTAAGAGAAAAAAGCCATATTTAAAGAAAAAATATCATCAATTACGCTTAAAATTCACTAAAAAATATAAAGACTGGAGAGTTAAAGAGTGAAGCAAAATAATTTGATCTGATAAGTCCAAATTTATGATATTTGGTTCTGACAGACGTAAATATTGTTGGAAAAAACCTGATGAACCCCTATACTAATAAACATGTAATTCTTATAGTAAAATTTGGTGGAGGGTGTATTATAGTATGGAAATGCTTTTCTTCTTTTAGGGTTGGTAACATTGTAAGAATTTATAGGAATATGAACAGTGAATTATATCGAGAAATATTAAAGAATGACCTTCTGGAAACAATCAAATGGCATGGGATTGATAAAAGTGATATTATATTCTAGCAGGATAATGATCCCAAATATACCGCAAACCTAATATGGCAGTGGTTTGAGAATTATAACATTGATATACTTGAGTGGCTACCATAATCACTGGATTTAAACCTGATAGAACATTTATGGAATGAAATTGGAGTAATACGGAAACTTGTAGTATAGGGTTGACCAACTGTGTAGTGTAAAACATAAAAATAAAAAGTGTATTACAGTTAACTCTTTCTACAATGAATTTTAATATAACAAATTTTACAATACAACAGATTTTCAGTGTCAAACAGATTTTTAAATATTAAAAAACCCTTACTATACCAAATTTAGTAATTAAAAATTCGTACTATGTTTAATGAATTAAAGTCAAAAAAATTTATATATAAAAT